CATTGATAAAGATAAATGAATCCAGTTTCATTACTAATAAAGATGAGCAATCCAGTTCACATAATTGATAAAGGATCCAGTTCCATTATTAATAACGATGAGTAACCCAGTTCACATCATTAATAAAGATGAGATCCATTACCAATAAATATGATTGACTCAGTACCATCATCAGTAAAGATGTGTGATCCAATAACATCGTCCATAAGATGAGTGATCCAGTGCCATTATTAATAAGCACAAGTAACCCAGTTCCTTTATTAGTAAAGATGAGTGATCTAGTACCATTAGCAATAAGAATGAGTGATTCAGTACCATCATCAAAAAGACGAGGAGTGATCCAGTTCCACTGCACCTGTACAGGCCCATTCAGCACATGTTTCAGTGTGTTTGGCTTTGGATCATGAGCACTTTATCCTTTATCTGTCCAGTTATTCTAATACAGGTTGTCCACAAGACTTTGTCCCACAACTGTACAGGTTTAAATACTCTGTAAACTGTTTTTTGTTAAAGTCACTAGTGTTTATGTTAACAATGCACCAATTCACTATGAGGTGCCTAATCTTTTGGCTTTCATTCTGATTTGACTCTGATGAAGTTGCTGAGTTCACTCTTCAGAAGACTGGGGTAGTGAAAGCGGATTACAGGAAATATGTCGAAGCTCCTAAACGTTTATTTTTGTTGCACTACAATGAATGATTTCCTCTTTTGTGTGAAATATTATTAAAATGTTATACATGCAAATATCTAATTAGTAAGAAGTCCATAGAGACTTTAATGTAGTTATAATTTCCTGGATTGTTATCTTGAGATAACAAGTTACTTATCTTATTATCTCAAGATGAAGATGTTGTCTTGCAATAACAAGTTAGTTATCTTCTTAACTTGAGATAACAAAAGTTGTTATTTTGAGAACATGTTAATTAACTTGTGATCTCAAGATAACAAAGTTGTTATCCTTAAAAAGTTAGCTATCTTGTTATCTTGAGATAACAAAAGATGTTATCTTGAGATAGCGAGTTAATTATCTTGTGACCTCAAGATAACAAAGTTGTTATCTTGAATTAACAAGTTACTTATCTTGTTATCTCGAGTTGTTATCTTGAGACAATGAGTTAATTATCTTGCGATCTCCAGATAACAACTTTATTATCTTGAGATCACAAGATAATTAACTCGTTATCTCAAAATAATCACGAATTGGTTTTATTTTCTTCAGAAGTTTAAGGCCTCAGACAGATTTGCCTCTTCAGAAAACAGTAGAGGAGAAAAGGGAAAAATAACAAACAAAACCAGGCTAAACTTAGATTTAAGGAAAATTAACTAAGCTAGCAAACAAAAGAAAAGCAAATACAATTTCTAACCTAACTCCCTAAATAAAGCAAACCAGGAGAAAACAAAGGCAAACAAAAATAACCCTCTCTCCCCAATAAGAGAGATTATATACAAGAGTTATGACTCTGGGCAGCCACATTAGCTCAGTTATCTTTATGAAAATCCCATAACAAACCACAAAGCACCAATAAGCCATACACTAACATCCAAACTCTCACACAGACACAGTTCTATATTTGAAGCTCTTTCAATCACTGGTTAGGGGAACCAGGGGCGCAACGGAAGCTGCATCAGAAGCAAAGCAATGTACTTCCTCCTGGACGTATCCTTTTTATAGGTGGCTCCCCCTGGTGGTGGCTTAGTGCATGTCCCCCGCTCACAGTTCTGTAATCAATACAGGAGAAGACGCACTTCACAAAAAACACATTATGACCCACTGGGTCTTAACATCATAAAGCTTGTAACTCATGGAGTACCCCAGGGTTCAGTTCTTGTCCCTCTCTCTTTGCACTATACTTGCTACCTACGAATAAAAATGGGTTTAGTTATTATTTTAAAAATCACCTGCTATGGTGATGTTCTAAGTTAAACTAAGTGAGCACATTCTCTACAGAGAACACACTGAAATATGGCTTTTTTCTGCAAATTTCATTGTACGATTTCTATTTATTTGCTGAGTTTAATATATTGGAAAACAGAACACATAAAACGTGACTTTATTTTTTCCCTAAAATGTTAAATTCAGCAAATAAACAGTAATTCTGCATTAAAACATGCAGAAGTGTGTTCTCTGTAGAGGAGGTGTTAACTCATTTACACTTTTAAAATTCATGAAACATGTCATTAAACTAGGGCAGCCAAACTTCCACTAACTGCCAGATAGTGAAGTGTGATTCATCACTCCAGAGAAGTTTCCACAGCTCCAGAGTCCAGTGATGCCGTGCTTTACACCACTCCAGCCGACGCTTGGCATTGTGCATAGTGATCTTAGACTTGTGTCCAGCTGCGAAACCCATTTCATGAAGATTCAGTTCTTGTGCTGATGTTGCTTCCAGGGGCAGTTTGAAACTCTGCAGTGAGCGATGCAACAGTGGATTGGAGATTTATGTGCTGCATGCTTCAGCACTCTGCAGCCTCTCTCTGTGAGTCTGCGTGGTCTACCGCTTTGTGGCTGAGCTGTTGTTGCTCCTAAACACTTCCATTTCACAATAATAGCACTTACAGTTGTCTGGGGCAGATCTAGCAGGATAGAAACCTCACAAACTGACTTGTGGCAGAGGTGGCATCCTATGATGGTGTCATGCTTAAAGTCACTGAGCTCTGAGAACTTGTCTATCAAGCTCTGAGAACTTGTCTATTATTTTATACACCTGTTAACAATGGGTGTGGCTGAAACACCTGAGCTCAGTAATTAGAAGAGCTTACTTGTATTTTTAAACGAAAACATCTTTATTTCTAAAAATACAGCAAAAGAGACATTTACTTTCATCAACTACAAAGAAATGGTAGTTTCTCAGTTTATAATAATTTGGTATTTGAGTACATTTACTCTATATGCTTTGCCATGGAGAGGATCATGGGAATTCATTCCTTGCCTCAACATAATTGATGCCCTATGCAGCGGCTGGATCCACACAAAACTCCCTGCCTTTGGCAAGAAACTGACATCACTACTTAACACGCAAATGCTTCTCTTTTTGGAATGTTATCCCCTCTAAGTGTCCCACAGCTCTGCAGCTCTGCTCTGGCCTCCTGCGCTCTCCATCACTGACCGTAATGCAGTCGACTCGCCACTAGAGGTCAGCTGAAGAAAGCAGAGCAGCAGCCCCAGCAGAGCAGACAGGTTCAGTGAAAGAAAAAGATTTTAAACTTGCATAACATAAGTAAGCGTTTTGTGCGAAATGTAGCAAGAATTTATTGTTGGATTTATTATGTTGTTGTAACTGCTGTGCTTTTGTTCTTGGACACCTTCCTATGCACCTCAGATGAGTTACTGCACACATGCACCCGGTATAAACAGGAGAAATGAAGCTGTGGCTTCTGTTCAGTAATGATCGTCATAAGAACAGGATGGACAGTCTCACATACTGCACCTGGAAAAATGCACAAAAATCACATTTCAAATGTCCTACACAAACAACACAAACAGGTCAACAACGTAATGCTATGAAATTCAAGACTAACTATACTACACAAACAGTCTGGAAAGATTAGTTCACCATTACCAGACTGTTTGGATAGTTTTACTATGTATCCACCAAACAACCAAGAGAACTGCAGGGACGGGACAAAGCTGCATTCTTACCAGTACAGACCACCACATATACAGTGCGCCTTTTAGGGGAAAAACAAAAGGGAGTTCAGAAAACCCCCCAAAAAACTCCAGTGATTATTGGATGGTAGCACTCCATCTAGTGGTCATAAATGGTATGAACAGAAAGTGCTCTCAAAAATAAAGACAAGACAATAAATGCATTTATTCAGAAAAACAATGAAGGGTTTCATTCTGTAACGAATTATAGATCACTTTTATTTTTTTTCATGATGTACATTGTTGGCTTTTAACACACAAGAAAAAGCAAGGCTATGTCATTATTAATACCACCTTTATGAGAGAAATAAAAATGTTCCATTCTACATCAGCTGTTACAGTTTTCAAAAAAAAAAAAATTTCCAAAATTGTTAGAAATGGACATATAGCGTTTTGGAATGTAAAACTGCAATTACTCGCACTACAGGTACGTGTTTGGTGGGTGTGTCACATGATAAAAGTACAGTCATAGTGATAAAACTACAAGATATAATTAACGCCAGATTTTTATATCATTGCATTCAGGGTTTAATTCGGGGGTGAGAGTGGAAAGTGCAAAGAAATCAGTCTCCTGTTTTTTCTTGAGCATTCAAAAGGTCTGGTTATTGTTCTGTATGTACTGGTCACTGCTGTGTGTATGATTGGAGATGATTGAAAAGCCCTTTTCCTGAGCTGAGAAAGTAAAAAAGAAAGTATATTTACAGTTCATAACTGCGCCTTCCAGACTTTTAAACTTAGCGTCCACTCTCACCCACCCACCTTGATTTTTTTCATTTTCATTTTTATTGTTGTGGAAAATTGTCAGATTGTTATTGTCGTAACAATCCCTAGTGGAATATTGTCACTGAAATTGGGATAATATTCAGGATACACCAACAGGTTTCGTGAGAAACCAGATACAAGATACTAGATAGTGCCTCAATTTCAACTATGACAAAAAATGCTATTTGATTGGTCAGATGTCTCTGACAGATTTCTTGAGCATTTAATTAACTATTTGGATACATTTTTCTCCAAGAAAATTCAAAGTAAATGTTTTTGTAAAAAAAAAAAAATCCCCCTTGTGGGTGAATGTTTTGCTCAGTTGGGCTTTCAGCCTCATGATGGTGCTATGAATACACTACACTTCACAATCACTGCTCAATCACAGTGGTAATTATCAGCTGCTAAATTTTGATTAGCCATTATTCTACAGTTATATGTTTGTAGATTGGTTTAAATGTTATTGGCACGTGTTAATGTAGGCATGCATTAATAAAAGGGCCCTCTTTGGTCACAAGGATCTGATGTTGCTCACCAACTCTAGTGAGATTTGGATGAACTTAATTGAGGGAAAGTGATCACGACAGAAAGCTTTGGTGCTTGGACCCCTATTGAACTTTATTTGTTTGACACATTGCATTTTGGTTCCAAAATCTCAAAAATGTTTAATGTAAACAGAGTAAACATTAACATGAATAATAGTGACTCTAATGTAAAGTAAAACAAAAAACAGGCACAAAATAAAATATCAAAGTAAAAGAAAAAACAGTACAACATCATTAAAAACCATAACCACAGCACTAAGTACTGGGCAAGAGAAAGTCAGATTTCATATTCAGTGGGATTAAAGTCCTCTTTCAAAGGACCATATGTGGATATGCATAACACGTTTTACTTCGTCCTTTTTTAGGCGACTTCCTTTTTTCAAGTTCAGTTTCCGAGCGTCTGACTGACACGCTGGTACTTTTTTCTGTTTACAACAAGTTTAAATAAGCACACGTGATATTCTCAGCATAACTAGCCTGAAAGCTTTAACAGTAACTGATTATTACTTATGTCAGTGTTTGTTAAATTGGTTTGGTTTACTTAATTGCATGATACACAATTTAACCTTTGACAAGCACGATTTATTGTTTGTTCTGCAGTACAACTGCAAATCAAGAGTTCCTTGCCATTTTATTGAAGAAATTGTATTTTTTTTTTATCTATTTCTAACATTATGCAAGCTTAATTTGTTTGTGTGTATATTGTATGAATGCTGATTACACAAAAGTTTAGCTCTCCTTCATAAATCACTTCGTTTTCCTCAGTATATCATCATAAGAACGAACATTTCTTTCAGGTGTGTTTTTTAAACACAAACACAGTAAATAACAGCATGAAATAAAACTGAAAAAACGAAAAAGGGAAAACATTCATAATCAGACATTCATGTGCGGAATACTGCAGTGTCTATTAGATAGATAGCTTTAACATACTGAATGGTTAGTGGCTTTTCCATTTGCAGACTCAGCTGCTGGAACAGCTCTGTAAACTCCTCACTTAACCTGTGCCTCTACGACAATGAAGAGGAGGAGGAAGGTCACAGGGTACCCCCTTACAGCGGCTCCTGGCCTCCGATGTTCTTGCTGCTCAGGGCCTTGATGTGATCCTTCACCCATGGGTCAGTGGGCCTGGCGCACACCTGACGTCCCTTCTTCAATGTGAACCTACGAGGAAGAAAACAAACAAAAAGGAAAGTGAATCTCTGCCAGGAGTGCCATTTATAAGCTCACGGTCATATTCTGAAAATCATATTTTGTTGATTTTCTAAGTGAAAATAAGTGAACACACCCTCTTACAGAGACCACACTTAAATATGACATTTTTCTGCCAATTTTTGGAGCACGACTTCTATTTATTTGGAAATCAATAAACATTAAATATGAACTGTGCCATAACTTTTATTTATGCCATACTTGCGCAAGCTTCATTAATGTTTTTATTGATGTTAAATGCAATAAATAAATTATATCATGTATAAAAAAATATATCACCTAATATAATTTAATATATTAATGTGATAGCAATGTACGCATTTGAATGAATCAGATTCAGTTCAGCAGTTTTCACTGTACAAACCTACATAGACTATGGACTGATTAAAATGTCTAAAATGTAATTACTGCTTAGTAAATATTTACTCCAATATACAAAAACACGTTATCATTAATGCTGCCTGCATGTAAAGCGTCATGACTAGACTAAAGCCTGGCCAGTGCATGAATATTCAGCTGGCAAGTATCATTGCTATAAATACCTTTGAGCTCAGTTTCTTTCACATGAAGTCTCTTGAAATCATAAACAAAAAATTGAGGTAGTGAGAGCAGCTCGCTGGAAGTGCTCTAGTCTTACAGAACGCTGCCTCATTAGCCAGAACAGAGAACCCTTTTGTGCTGCTGCACCAGCTGATGTTTACTCTTCACAACAGAATTTCCCTTTCGGGTTTCCCAGCGCAGCTGAAAACTTTTGTTGCATGCTGTAAAATTTTGTGCCACACTAATTATATTTTCTGTTTCGGTTTCCGTTTCTCTCTCTCTCTCTCTCTCTCTCTCTCTCTCTCTCTCAGTGACACACACACACACACTGAGGGAACACTTACAGCACGGCCTGTTTGGAGCACTGCTGGCTGGTGAAGCTGTAGGATCTCACCATGCTCAGCTTGACAGATTTCTGGGTGTAATCGAAGCAGCAGCTCTTAGGCGCAGATCCGTAACGCATACCTGTAAAAACACACCAATCAGCACCAACGTCAGCCGACCTGCCAATGATCTTCCCCCCAGAACATATACATTATAATGACCGACAACATAGGAGGGCTGTTTAACACAGAGATGCAGCACAAATCTGAACTGCATTAACCTCTTAAGGTTTATTACTCATTTATTAATCCTAAACAACACTGTTCAGCAAATATTATTAATGATTCAGTATCTACGATTGATTATTCAGTATCTGATATGAATTATTCATGAACTACAACTGATTATTCACGATTTACTATTCATTTCCCAGTAATTATGATTAAATATTAGTAACTATTATGAATTATTCAGTATCTACAATTAAATTTTCAGCATCCACTATCAATTATTCAATAACTTCTATGAAGTATTCAGTATTTACCAAAAATTATTTAATATCCACTACTAACTGTTTCAGTAACTATGACCAATACTACAGTAACTACTATGAATTATTCAGTTCCTCAGTTTAGTTCAGTTCAGTTCAAGGTAACTTATTTTTTTGCCAAAGCATTAAAAACGTCTCTTTCTCTGTTTGAGCTCTTACCTTCACTGAAAGTGACGGCGCTCAGCAGCACCACCACAGCGGACAGGAGGAGCAAACGGAGGGCTGCCATGTCTCTCAGCTGATCAGATGATAGAAATCACTGAATAAATGCCTTGTTCTTCAGTAGTGAGATGACCACTCAAGGTGAACTCGCTGCCTTGTGGTCCACAGCAGAGAGTGTCGGTCTTTATAGCCATCACAGCTGATGGGGAGACCCCTTGTGAAGAGGAACTACTTGCAGGGGAAAATTTGATTCACCCATGCTGGTGAAAAAAACTCCACGCATCATACAGTATCGTTTGACCTTTATCTACGCAATGTGACCTTCCTAATCATGTCTGACATAAGAAACAAACGCAGTACAGCACATGCCTTTCACTTCCCTTTCCAGTCTGGTTAAGCCACAGAGTGGACAGCGTCCACTCCGGAACAGAGCAAACTGAAAGTTTAACCCTTTCAACCCATCATACAGGGTTATTATTCAGTTATTATCTTCGGGCCACTGAATTATTCAGTAATTGCTATGAATAATTACTATGAGCTACTAATCAGGGAATAAACAGTCTACAATACTGAGCACATGGTAAGTCTATTCAAGAGGAACCCGGATTATATTTATTACTGTTCAAAGTGTTTATGATCATAAAGCACTCATGCGTGATATGAATCTATGCAAATGACAAACACTTACTCATACGCAAAGCATTCAGAATGCCTTTGTGAACTGTACAGTAAAATTGCATTATCACACGTACACAATGATCGTCTTATGAAACAATAGTGAACGGTTGATGAAGCTCATGTAATGAATAGGAATGTGTTTCCTTTTAAATCATGAATGCTATTAAGGATCAATAATCAATGCAATATGGATATCACTTCAATATTTGTATGATTAGAGTTGTATTTGTTCCCTAAAATTAGGAATATATGTTTTCATTTATTAAATCATAAGTTTACACTAAGCCGATGTGTGTTTACAGTTCATTAAATGCTCTACTAATAAACTAAGAACGCTTCATGTACATGTGATTTGTGTTGTGTTAAAGTGTAAAATTATCTTAAATATAGTCAATAAAACTAATATTTCTCCTGTTGAGATTGTTGTAAGCTTCAATTCCCTCATTTCTGGACCTTTTTCATTTGTTTTAGGTTATTTTATTAAGTAAAATTATCTCACTGTGTTGGCAGATTATTTAGCTTGTTGTAAGAAATGTGAAACCAGCAAAATTACCTGCCAGTAGAGTGAGATACTTTTACTTGATAAAATTACCTAAAACAAGTAAAAAATGTCTAGAAATAAGTAAAATAATCTTATAATAAGTGCACAACCATCTCAAAATGGGAAATATTAGATATATCGACTAGATTTAAGATCATTTCCCTTGACAAGATACCATTTTTTCCAGTGTACAATACGCCATTCAGTGTCTACTATGAATTGTTCAGTATCTACTATTAAGTATGATTCAGTAACTACTATGAATTATTTTGTAAATATTATAAATTTTTGAATAACTAATCTAACTTCATGATACTTCAGTATCTACTATGAATTGTTTAGTATCTACAAACTCAGTACCCAAAAAAGTTGGGACAGTGTGTGAAGTGGAAATAAAAACAGAAAGCAATGATTTGTAAATCCACTTGGTCCTGTGTTTAAACTAAAGCAGTACAAAGTCAAGATATTTAATGTTTTATCCTGTCAACTCAAGTGTTTTTTGTATATACAGTCATTCTGAAATTGATGCCTGCAGTACTCTCCAAAAAAGTTTGGACGGGGGCTTTAGGATTACAAAAGTTTTAAAATGTTTGAAATAGGTGATGTAATCCTGCATTAAGGAAATGCCGAGTCCTTTATGAGTGAGGATATATCGAGGCTCGCCACTTTGCTAAAAATGCACCAGCAAAAAATCCAGCAGGTTAAAAATAACGTTCCTCAAGAAGTGTTTGCAAGAATGTTAGGTATTTCACCCTCTTCAATGCATAATATCATTAAAAGGTTCAGGGAATCTGGAGAAATCTGTGTGTAAAGTTCAAGGCTGAAAACTAATAGTGAATGCCTTTGACTTTCTCCCACTTAGATGGCACAGAATTAAAATGGACACGCTTCCAGGGGTGGCACCACACCTCCAAAAGTGGTGGAGCAAAACATATTGTTTCAAAAATAATAAAAGTAGCAGCTGGCTGTGTGACGAAATGCACTTTGGCCAATGACTAAAACCGCCTTTCATGTCAAGCTAATGTCGGCTTTACAAACCTTTACATTTACTAGGTTTAAATGTTACATTTATTTGTACATGATGGATTTTTACTCTCCTGAGTATTTTCAGATCATATAACTTTTACTTCTACTAAAGTGAGTAAAGGAATGTTTTTACTCTGTTGTTTAAGCCATTCGTATTTAGTTATTAATTCCATTTTTTGTGTTTAATTTCAGTATGTTTTGATGGTGGCATATTTGTAATGCTTTGTAATTGGTTACATCTCTGACTTTGGAGTTTTGTATTTTAGACCACAAGATTCCCAAAAAGAGAAGAACAGAGCTGCACAATCCTTAGTTCCTCTCACCGCTGTGGGTTCGGCAGCCCTGCATGCTTCTATAATGATTATAAACACATAGGTTCAAGAATACTTCAGAAAACGCTTGTTATTAAACAAAGTTTGTCACTAAATCTACAAATGCAAATTAAGATTGTATTATGCGCAGCCATATACCAACAACATCCAGAAACGCTGCCGACTTCTCTGGGCCAAAGATAATCTGAGATGGACTGACACAAAGTAGGAGCATGTGCTGTGGTTTGACTAGTCCACTTTTTTAGGCCAAAGAGAAAAAAGACCATCCAGATTGTTATTCCAGATAGTGTGGCATTTAAAAGCCAGCATCTGTCAGGTTATGTGGGTGTATTAGTGGGTAACTTGCACTTCTGTGAAAGCACCACTGATGCTGAACAAAGCATGCTGCCTTTTAAACACCATCTTTTTCAGGGATGTCCATGTTTATTTCAAAACGACAACAGCAAGAAACATTCTGCCCATGTTACCACAGCATGGCTGCGCAATCAGAGAGTTTGGATGTTAGACCGACCTGCTTTTCACCTATTGAAAACATGCAGGCAAAAAATGATGCTTTCAAAACTAGATCAGTTTGTCTCTTCACTCCCCAAATGATCGTTAAGTGCTGTTAAAAGGAAAGGTGATGTAACACCATGGTAAACATGCTATTGTCCCAACTTTTTGAAATGAGCATATATTTACGAAAAACAATGAAGATCATAAGATAAAATATCAAATATTTTGTTATTGTACTGTTTTCAACATATAACAGGTCAAACAGAATTTACTATTCACTGTTTCTGTTTTCACTCGCACTTCACATACTATTCCACCTTTTTCGGACTAATGAATTATTTAGTAACTACTATGAATGATTTAGTATCTACTATAAATTATTCATGTTTATTATTCATATACTATCTGCAGTTATGAGAGTGAGGACCTGAAGTGAGGACCCACACAGACCCTTTCAGGGCTTTAAGAGGTTAAAAAGTTGAATTTTGTGTGCTCTACAAGGTTTATTTAAAAGGTTTTACTACATGGTTAAAAACAAACTTGACAAATATACAAAAAGGTGACGGCTGTAGGATGTGGGTACTGTGGTCAGTATGTACATTAGGGTCAGTCACTGTTCTAGATTCACTGTTGCAGACTCTCATGTTTGCTTTGGCTTTTTTTTCTACTGAACGTGTGAGAGTATTGGTTTAAAGTTAGTGTGAAGGTACACCCCCACCACTTTCAGATCCTCTTTCACTACGTTCTGCAAAGCCCAGTGGTGACGTGTAGCGTTTCAACAGACCAAGGGAAACATTTTCTTCCCAAATAGTTTCACGATTCTTTTTCCCATGGAAATGGAAATAGCTAAAAAAAAAAAAGAGAAATAAAATAAAGAAATATTACATCTGCATTTATAGTTAGTAAACACGCTGAGCTGATATGGACATGAGAAACCGCAGCGGCACATGTGTACCCTACATAAGACTCCTACGCATATTATTTGTGGTTCGAAACTTTATCTGCATCTCAGTGTTGAAGACTTTAAAAGGAAAGTCCCCACACATAATTTTATCAAATGATCATTAATCATGGTTGACGGATGACAAAGCTCTTTCGGTATTGTTCAGACTAATTTCCATTTCTCTCATCTCCATGTGTCCATCAAATTAGCTATCTATGCCCTCCAGAATTGTTGGCAACATTGGTGAAAAAAAAAAGAAAAAAGTATTTATTATTTATCAGCTTGATTTCACCTTAAAATATAAGAAGCCTCGTTTCAGTGAGCAAAAAATAATCAAAGAAAATAAAACCAAAACACACCGGCATCCATTTACATTCTTATGAGCAAAATCGAATTGACATTACCTTTCATATTGTCATATGTCAGTATAGTGAGTCTTTAGTTAAATATAATAAAAATCTTGGTAATTTCTTTAGAAACGTTAAGTGGTTGTCATCCGTGACATTTCATTGGTATATGAATATGAAGTGATACAAACACCCTTAGTCATGCTTCTACACAAGGAAGGTTGGAAAATACACAAGAATCAAAAGTTGCTGACCTTCATAATTCAGATAATAATGATGAAAAAGCATCCCAAGAATATAACCACCTAAATTGCTAATGTGCATTATAAAGACAAAGGGAAGTTGTGATGAACCTCTCTGGAAAAGGGCAACATTTATTTTACCAATGTCTTCAAATTTCAGTAGTAGAAAAAAGAGGGAGGATTTTATTGTACATAACATTTCAGCTTTGACTGGATCAGAGATACGAGCTGAGCCCCGGACATTGTATCCAATGTGCTTTAATATGTTTAATTCCTTCCTTAAGAAAGTAGCACCCTTTAGAGCAGAGGTTCTTAACCTGGAGTTCGGGACCACAAGGTTGCGGCATGGTCCCAGGGGGGTCATGCGAGGGGTGCTAGATGACATGTACCTTACCAAACATGGAGAAAATCATTTAAATAATAATTTTGATGAATGCAGGCTGGCTCTGCTGAATGGCTCCACTTACAGGCCACAGAAGGCTGATGTTGAAGTTTCTATTGGGTGAGCTGGTTACTGAGGAAGGGTCTTGATTGACCGCTAAACCTGAAGAACTTTTTCAATGCTATGTTTGTGGAGAAGTGCTAGCTAAGGAGTGCAGGCCCAGTAAGAGAGTAGACCTACTATTTGATTAATCTTCAGGGGTTTCTTTAATATGTATGCTGGTACGTGTGTATGTGG